AACCAAACCAAACCGAACTGAAACAAAACAAAACAAAACAAAATAAGCAAGGTCATCATTAGTTCACCGAGCACGATACCAGCTCAACTAAAAGCACGTCCAAACCAACAGTACATGTAGTTCGTGGCACCTCCATCGTTAGCGCAGCAGATAAATACTGTAGGGCCCGGTTTGGACTTAATAAGTGTCTGTTTTTCGGTTTTTCAAAGACTTGTCTTATAGGAATGCTTCCCTCCAATTCAGGGATCTAAGCTTTTTTTAAAGGAGAAAACATGAAGCGAGACACATTTTGTGGTAAGTTTAATAATAAAAAGTAGCGTGTTAACACAACACTTGGGCGAAATGTGAATATAAAAATAATCAGTTTTGAGTGTCACACAAAACCAAATTGCTACCCAAAGTTTACACGTTAGAATCACATCATAATACTAGTAATGACTTGACCGAACATATCCCTGATGCTTTCACATTACACATCCATTTGCTTTGCATAAATTACTGTAGAATACTTTTCAGTAAAGAAATATAATATGGATACCTATTAAAAAGGAAACATATGGGAGGACCAGTAACGAAATAAAAGATTAAAACTGCTCTAATATAGGAGCGTATGTATCAAAACTGAAATAAATAAATGTGATGACACCCTGACAATGATAATTCACACACACAAAAAACATGTAGCAGCCTGAATCGAAAGTACACGGATACAACGAGATGGAGGAACGGGCACACATTGTGAGGCAGCATTTACCTCTTACTGCTGAACAACACTTGGTCTCTTCTTTAAGTACAATCAAATGACATTGTTCCTAGTCTTACAGAAAGAGTTAGTCTTTTAATACTGAGTATTGCAACACACCCTCGCTGTATCCTACCTAACCAATCTAGATCTTTTCGTTAAAATAAAACAGGAACTTTCGTGCGTAACGTCGCTGAAAATAAAAATGATCAAAACCCAGTATTTGTGTGAATGGCTAAGTGTTTTATTTTTACAAAGGGTTTTCTCTTTTGTCTACTTGTATTTACATTTTATTACGTTTATTATGTGAAGTATGTCCATGGTTCTGGTGTCTAAATCATTCGTGTAGCCCCCCCCCCCCTCCATAACGTTTATGAATAATGAAAGGGGCAAGGTTATTGGCAATTGCATTTCATTAAAAGAAATTTATTGTATGCGTTTGCTGATTTTACAGCCGGGTAATTTAGCAACACGTGACTTCCCTTAACTTGTAACCTGGTTATACTACTATGGTGGTCGGTGGTGTACATGTAGTTACGTAAATCGATTCTAAATTTATCAAAGACACTTAAAGAAAGGTAGGGACATGATTCTACTGATAAATAAGTGCCAAAACAAAAGCAAATGACGATAATAGTTTTAGCAGTGGGTTCTGCAGTAACAGCTAGTGGCAACTCTCCTGGTGAAACGCTTCACGGACCATGGGTTGGTGGAGCAGACGGCGTAGAAACTGCGCAGTGTGTAGCGGCGCAGACAGCGGCCCACAGACGCACAGTTCTCGGTGAGCACGGCGCACTTGTTGCAGTTACAGTAGGCGGTGTAGATGGCGTTAGACGGGTAGAAAGGACAGCATCTGGCCGGGGGGTTGGA